TACCAGCGGGCGAGGCAAGACAGGCAGATCAGAGCTGTCGCTCACACATACATCCCATGTCGCTCGCAGGTTCGTGGGCTGGACCTGGCCTAGCTTGCTTGGGGGTCTTGATGGATCCTGCAAGACTGGGGCACTGGCGTCGTGCGCTAAGATACACCCGTCAAGGATCCCTGTAGGCGTCGCCGAGTGGTAGTCGGAGACGGATGGTGCTTATGGAGTTCTACGTTGTTTTGACTGTTGGTATTACCTTTGGATGTTGGTCGCACTATCTTTCGGTATCTCTTTTACGTTGCGAGTACATGCGTGCCCACAATGGAGACTACGGGGACTAAGGTACCCACACCACGTTCGCGGTTCTGCGCAGGTAGGCTAGCCAGGTGATTGTGGAGAGATAGAGGGAGAATGGGTGAGTAAAGGCCGTGTCTCACAGACAGCTTCTCCATTCTCCTCCGTTGAGCCAGTCCAGTCTCTCAGTCAGGGCCCAGCAGTGCCGCACTGGACTGGTCGAGGAGGGGACTGGAGGATGAGTGAGGGGAGGGGGATTGTGGTGGAGAAAAAGCCTGTCTACCGGGGTACGAATGGGCCAGGAAACAACAGTAAGACAAGGATAGGCTGATTCTGTGGATGGAGGGGGGGCGTGGCAAGGGTTCACTTGTCTTGCGGAAAGGAAGCAAAGACAAAGGCAGCACGGGCAGTTGAGTTGAGTTGTGGTTTGTAATATCTGTTGGCTGTGATTGGGCACTGGAAAGTTGCGTGTCCAACGCCGTTCAGCCTTGGCGAGCATCATCAGTGCAGTCAGATGGATGGGTGGCGGCGGGCAAGTTTGGAGAAGTGTGACTTGGATGTGCGGAGGTGATGGGAAAGCCATAGCTTCAGCGGGGACTTCGCAGTACGTTGAGATGAAGAGAACAAGAAAGGAGAGATACGGATACTTGGCAGTCAGTCAAAGTCAATCCTTAACGCGGAGTATCGTCGACCGCCGAGCATGAGTCGTGATTCCAAGTCAGCTGCGCCTAGAGACTGCCCAGCTGCCCAGTCCTTCGCGAAGCCAGTTCACGCCAGTCTTACTCGCTGATAGGAAGAGTTGGGGAAAGCTTAGACGTGACAAGCAAAGGAGGATGAGCCCCGAGGTGCCTGAGCAAGCGAGACAGACCCTGGCTCGAGATGGGCAACGATCGGTGGTACCAAGAAAACACCAAGACAATGGCCGAATGCGCGGGATTCCTTCGACGGCCGGACGCAGCAGGTCGATGTGCCAAATTCCAGTTCTGCCACTTCGGTTGCAAGAAACAGTTCTAGAGTAACGCCCGCAGAGTGAGCAAATCCTCCAGGTGGTTCCCTCCAGCAGCTTGAGAATTGCCTTGAGAGATTTGACCCAGACTGTCAGAATTTTCACCGTAATATTAGTCGTACGGACTTACGCGATGATGCTTATCTCTGGGGCAAACTCAGTTCACCCTCATCGTTCCTCTTTCTCCCGATTTATCGCCAACAGCGGGAGATCAACAGACCTTCCATCACGATCAGGCTACAAGTCTTCCGACTGCGAGAGAGGTAGGTAGTCAGTCCGCCCGGCCACCCGGTACGCCTCTCTTTCTCTCTACCCTAAAACTTAGCACTGCGCAAGGCAGAGTGCGACGGGGAGAGACATAGACGGCGTGCGAATATGCAGGCTTCAGCTGGTTCCGTCCCACAGCGTGGGTGTCCCGGACACGGATAAGGCGTACGGACTTAGAGTACGACGGCCAAGCGTGCCAGAACAGGAACAACCACGACCAACACCACGACCTCCACCAGCTCTCGTCAAGTCACAGAAAGCCAAGAGATAGAAGGCTCACGCGATGGCCATCTACTCGGGCAATCTGCGGGGGCACCCTCAAGCCACGATTCATACCCTCACGCCAATCACCGCCAATGGCTCGTGCCCAGATAGGCTGTTCGCTCGCTGAATCGATCCAAGTATCCGTACACTACCTACTCCATTCGTTGCTGCTGATGGGCAGCGGTGATTTTACCTTTACTAAGGTACTAGCAGACTGCTGGCAGTATTACTGGGAGAGCCTAGCGGGATCCCTCGAGTCGTCGACCCTGCAAGGGAACAAACCAGTCTTCACGAGGCACTGATAGAGATATCGGCATGGCCGTCTCTGCCCAGTCTCGATGATGTGAATCTAGGTACCGCTACTGCATGGAAGAATAGACCGTTCGTCGCATTACTTACATTCACTGGCTGACTCTCTGACAGCTCAACACCAAGTGGTGGCTGCGTCTGCCAAAAGCTTAGAATGCGCGCCACTGCGCCATTTGCCCCATCGTACCCGTGTCCAAGAACCGCCAGCGGCTTGTCCATCTCTTGAATCTCTTGTTGCTTCTTGGAGTCTCAACCTCCCGCAAAATACCCGTTGCTCGGCAGAGGGGATGTGGATAGAGCCGTTGAAGGACGTCTGTCCCATGATTCCTTTTCTCTGCCCTTCACGACGTGCCCCTCCACGAGTCCACAGGAACAAATGCCCAGGCCAGAACAGAGTAAACGAATACGTACATGTTATGTGAACCTTTTAGGTGTTCGGCTTCACCAGCGGGTCACCAAATAAGTCTAATCGCGACGCTGACACTAACGCTTATTGATAATATCGTCCGCGTGGGCATTCCATCTTACGTTCTAGAAACGCGCTGCATCTTCCCACCCATCCCTCCCAGACCTCTCACCAAGGGCCCCAACCACCATCTTCCCTGCCACTCTCCCCCTCCATCGCTTCTCCAGCTGTTGCTTCGTCCACTCAGAGCCTAGATCTATCTCCCCGCCAAGACGTTTATCTCTGGCCCAAATAAGCAGGTCCTTATCTCCTCCACATGGCCCCTGTACTCCTCTTCCCTGCCTCGGAGTGGGAACTTGGGAAAGTTGAGCATGGGCTTGCCCGAGCTTATCCTCGCCCTTGGCTGACTTTGGCTTAGACTACCGATGGGCCACCTCGGATGGCTTGGGACGGTTCGGCCACTTTGCCTCGTCTTGTCAAATTCTGCCAAAGTCAATGGCTGGAAATGTCTTGTCTTGGACAAGTCGTAAAGTTGGCTCACGTTCCCTTCTGGCAGTCAGCATTACCTATCCGTACTGCCACTCTGCCATAGAGGCATAGACGGAAAAATCTTGCTAGCATGTTTTGTTTCTTGGGAGCCAGGACTGAATGGCCACGGCCGCATTAGCCCCGCGAGACCCCGTCGCTTTTGCTCGGGCACTTGGCCGGATGCAAGTCCCCCTGCCCACCCATTTAGTGTGCGTCGTACGAATGGCAGAGCGTCCTGTCCTGCGGGAACCATTCCCAAAGAGTCGGCAGCGTCTCTCCCACATTCCAGCCCAAAGGTCCATTCTGCATTTCTCGGGACTCTCTGCGCAGTAATTACATGCTAGCTGGGGCGTCTGGGCTGACTGGGAAAGGTCAGCACTTCTCAGCTGCATGCGTGATGCGAAAATGAGACTCCAGTCTGCTCTTCACTTCAGCGTGAACTGACAATGCGCTGGAATGGCGGCGCCAGGGCAGATTTGATGTCTGATTGTCATCACGCAAACGTGGGACACTCGGCCGGATCGCATACCGAAGGGGATCATCGTCCTACTTCCCTCTGATTGACGAAAACAAGCCCAACAGCGCCAGATGCGCCGTTGAACTCAGACACCCACTCGCAAAGTGCACAGCCATCCTGGGGGAAGACCCCTCAGCCTGTGGTGCTTGGCGATCAGTGCGTCTTTGTCAAGTTTGGGGTCTGCTGTCAGGTAGGTATTCGCAGCTTGCCAGTCAAGAGACGAGACAGTCAGACATCAGACTGTCAGACGTGATCCATCCCGTCGTCCCCCAAGGTCCCCAATCCTCCCCAGTGCAGGAATACCGCACATGAGTCCCCAAGTCCCGGTCCCGGTCCCACGCGTTGGTCGAAGATGCAAGCAGCCGACTCGAGGCCGGCTCGTCGTCATCTAAAAGGACCCAGCTCTTAATTCCCGACGTCTGTCCAGGCACTGCAAGATCTGGGATAGTGGGCGGGACAGAGCAGGGATACTGACTTTGGGACCGTCGGTGAGCAAGTTGAACGGCTATTGAAAGACTGAAGTCCAAAGATGTCTCCTATCCACGGAGCAACTTGTGACGAATTCCCTTCCGTCACCGCGAAACGGGTTTTCCATCTACCGTCCAACCAGACGGTGCGAGTCGGTACTATGGTCCCCCGGAACGATGTGCGGGCGTCTGATATTGGTTTCTCTTCTTCTTCCCCCCTCCCATTCCCGAGAAAATCGAAACGGCCTCCGCTCCGGCGCTTCCCACTGTTCCTAGAAGCACGGAAAGTAATCAAAATCGCGCCATTCCCGACGCGCCCCTAACCCGAATATTGTGCCGGATCAGCTTTGCCAAGAGCCCCTAGATGCGGTATTTTACCCATCACTGCTCCGGCGACTCGTATGCGCGCCTGGATTTGATATCTTCTCGGCCTTGGCCCGGCTAGGCGCCTCGGACAGTCTCCTAGGCCTGCTAGGCAAACCAGTCTGCCGGTGGCTTGCTCTAGTGCTTTGTGTGCCGAAATCTGCAAAACACACGCTTGAGGCTGCACTAAGAGGCTGACTGAGAACTCGCAACGGCGAGAAGGCCGCGGAGTTGTTGAAGCCTCAAATTCCTTTATCAGACGGAGTCACTTTTGGGGTCAATATTTTCGCAATCAAACAACCGCGATAGGCAATGCTGGCATAGTCGTCGACGCGAGGTAGCTGTTGCATCGCAGTTGAATCGATCGTCGATGCAGCCTCTGCAGCCTGAAATAATTGCGAGTCTCGGGATGCTACCCTGCCCTTCCCCTGCTCACCCATCGACGGCTACTCACGGCCAACACCTCAAAGTTTTTCTTCTCAGTGCCTGAAGGTGCTAGGTATCCCCCTTCACTGGCGTCTTCTACGCATTTTCTAGCGTTTCCATGGCCGCCAGCGCCGAGAGAGTAGTTGCTAGTCCCTGGCACCCCTCGTGAAGTTTTTCAAAGTGTGGAAAATTAAGTGCTTCAGAATCTCTGTGTGCAGTGGGTCACTTTTCCCCAGCTCTTCCACATGATCTCTCACGAATCAGTGATGCTTCAAATTGACCAGACCCCAGATGAGACTAACTAGGGCAGTAAGTGCAATATGGAAATTCCCATGTGCATTCGGTAATTCCACGCCTTCTCCAGGTATTCAACAGCTCTTGGAAAAGCTTGGGACGAACGCACAGTTGGGGAAAAGGAAGCGATGGGGTAATGGATTGGTACTATGGAGTAAATTTCTCGTAAGAGGTTGGCATTCTAGCGGAACCTCTGTTGACGCCATTCATCTCTCCCACAAACACTCTGGCCGCCCAACGATCAGACTTCATATGCCATCTGTTCAAGAGAGATTCTATTACGTGAAATGGCGGGGAGTTTCGTGAATCCGTCTCTTGGCTGTCTTGATTAACCTGGGGTATGGGGTAGCGAGAGAGGGGTTCAATGGATGAACCGGAGGCCGAGGCTATGACTGTTAACTCCTGATTCCGGAGCAGTGAGGAAGCATTTTTGACAGATACCGCGCAGAGCGTTCTGGTGTCACAGTCCTCGCTAATTGAGACACGGAGGCTTGCCTGTTTTTCCGTAGGGAAACGGATGGTCCCTAGTCCCTAGAATAGAGTACAAGATACAGAGGTCAAGAGAATTCAGCCTCGGCCGCTGCCGCCTTACCGGGAGGGAGGCTGAAAACGCCAGCTGAAGTCAGCCTAGATGAATGTCTTGACTGCGACGCCCAACGGGACACGTTGCGAAGCACAAGGTTTGTTAGCGGCATGCAGGACGGGTACAGCTCTCTCATGGGCCTCATCGCTCTCGCGGTCAGTTCCGTTGCCGGTCAGCTGAGGAAAGTTAGTTGCTCATGCCGAAGGGGACATGTTGGCTCTCTCAGAGCTCTGCGGTTAGCATTCAGGTGGTCCGGCGGCTCCCGCAGACCCCCGGCGAGTGGTTGGCCTGGATTCAATTGCGGTGCGATCGACTCAGCCTCAGCAGCGTAGCATGCCCAGACTTGCTCCGCAGACTGTTGAAGTATGAGCGTCGTGTTCGCATGCTGCACTCGTCTGGCACGTGAAGAGAGGACGGATAGCTTCGCATCTGGCAGGCAGTATCATGTCACGGCAGATAATCTTCCTACCGCTATTGTTACATATGATACAATGTAATGTGATTCTATTGTCGTGGCCTAAGCCTCGGCCTCTATCCCGAAGCTAGCCAGTGTACAACATGCCAGCGACGCTCGCCGACGTGAGGGTTGAAAGTACGCCGGCGAACAAGGCAGACAAGGCGACTCGTGACACATCTCCGGCGCGTCCGGGAGCAATCTGTGAAAGAACACCGATCTGAGTTCCCAGTGAACCAATGTTGCCGAAGCCCTGCGAAATCTGGTCAGCTTCCTATTCTACGCAGGGTTGCGACTCTGTCAAAAGTGAACTTACGCAGCAGGCATAGGTTGCAATGAGCTTGGAGCGAGGTGACATGGAGATGTAGGGTTCGACCTTGCTCGACAGAGAGTTGAAAGCAACGTATTCGTTGGTGATGATCTTGATTCCAATGAGCTCTCCCACGGTGAGCAGGTCCTTCTTGGGCACACCCAGACACCAGGCGACGGGGTAAAAGACGTAGCCCAGAACAAGCTGAAGGGTCAATGGGGGATCGTCGATGCCCAAGAACTTGCCGAACCAGCCGAGGATGCCGTTGATGAGGGCGACGAAGGAAATGATGCAGAGGAGTGTGGCGACGATCATGCCGGCGACCTTGATACCGAACCAAGCTCCGTTAGCAAAGGCGTGGATGGCGTTGGCAGCCTTTTCCTCGTCATCCGGAACTGTGATGCTACCGCGAGTGATGCTTTCCTCTGTCTCTGGGTAGCGAAGCTTGGACACTGCAATACTTGCTGGAATAGACATGACGCATGACGAGACAAGAACTTGTGCGTCGAGGCCGAGGCCAATGTAACCAACCAGCACGGATCCCGCGATAGTTGCAAAGCCACAGGTCATGACCTGATGGATCTCGGCCAGCGTAAGGTACGGCACGAACGGCTTGATGAGCATGGCCGATTCACCTTGCCCGACGAAAGGCGTCGCCGTCGCCACCACGGCCTCGGCGCCTGAGACGCGAAGCGACCAGAAGAAGAAGACGGCAAACTTCTTGATGAACCATTGCAGGAACCCGCAGTGATAGAGCAGCTGGACGAGCGAGATGAAGAAAATGATGGCCGGGATCACAGAAATGAGAAACCAGGTCAGAGCAGATACTTCGGTCGACGTCAAGAACTCGAGACCCTGCTTTGCGAAACCCAGAAGCGTCCGGGCCATCTCGGAGATGAAGGCAAAGATATCGTAGCCGACGCCCGTTTTGAGCACGAATACGGCTATGATGAACTGCGTGAGCATCCCGCCGATGACAGTGTGCCAGGGGATCTTCCTCCAGTCGCGGGAGGTGAGGGTGAGAAGACCGATCATGAGAAGCAGGCCAAAGAGACTGATGGCGCGACTGGCACGAGTGTTCTCTCCCACTTCCTCCGGGACCATGGAACCGACCAGGAACACGCCAATGGTGAGAAGCGCAGCAAGAGGCTGGTGCAGTTTGCTGGGGATTATGTCGTACGCTCTGCCAACGGTGTGCTTCCAGACGAAGCGCAGCGGTACCATGACGGCAGCGGCAGGGAGCCACAAGGTGACGATGCGTATGGTGATGGCGAGATAGACCAGGAAAGACTTCAACCAGCCCATCTTATCGCGCTGGAAGACGAGGCCGACGATCCACCATCTGTCCAGGAAGTTTCGGTCAACCGATGCCACCAGACTAGCCACCGAGAAGGGGGCATCTGAGAGCATGAGAGAGGTTCTCAACTTACGCTGTGAACAACATCCATACAAACACGTGGATCGGAAGCTTGAACTTCCTATAGAACCGGGCCACTTTCGCTCCCTTGCCCTTGGCATCTCTCATCGAGTCGGTCTGGTTGGTGCCGACCTCCAAGTCGCTCGTGTCGACGACTTCCTCTCTGTCGCGTGACGACTTGCCCGTCTCGTCGCCCTTGGGCGGAAGAGAGCGAATAGGAGTATCCACACCCGCCTCGCCGCCGGGCCCGATCTCGTTCTCGGGCCCTCCTCCTCCTCCGTGCTTCTCGGACTTCATGTCGGTGCCAGACATGTCCTCGCCCGGCGCTGCTGCAGTAGTAGGACGCATGGTTCGCTTTTGGCTTGTGTGCCGTGCCGTCCACTACGCACGGGAATGGTGACGAAGTAAGGGGGGAGGTTTGAACAGGACGAGCTTTTCAGGGACTGGAGCCCCGTCCAAGAAAAAATTTGGCGAGTTGTGGAGAGGAATTAGCGGAGCCGGGAGGCGACGTCTTGACCGTGTGGTGATCCAGTGGGAGATGGGACGATGATGCTGGGAGGGGGGAGGTCAGTGCGAGCTTTTGCTGCGCCCACCGGACGAATATCAATTGAGATTAATGAAGATGCTGGGACTCTACCGTAAGTCAAGTGAGAAGATGGTAGGCAAGATGGGATGAGACAGGAAGCTTAATGCGGCCTGACAATGGGAGGCTTCTCCGGATCCTCCAGCTTCGCGAATGATCGACGATGTTGCACTGTGGCGGGATGGCGGCGTGTTGCATGTGTCCATCGCCTGACAGCGCGTTCGGGTTTGTCGAGTCGGCCCTTTCTCCGTGTTCCCACTTCGATCCCTTGGCTTTCTTGGGGGTTACTTGAGCGCCACCCAAACTCATCCTTGAGAGCCGCGGCGACCTCCGTGGTGCATTGAGGTGGCTATCATACGGATACTTTACCGACAACAACACGTGGCGCCGTGTCTAACCGGTGATTCTTATTACCTTCAAGATACTACCTACCTATTGTTGCGGGGAAGCTGGCGCTGGCGTGCCTATTTCTCCACGAAATCGGTTATGAGGAGCTAGAGGAAGAAAGGTATTGAGCTACTGGTCAGAGCTAGGTGATGACGTCGCATGTTTTGGTGAAACCGATGATGTCAAATGTGAAAATAAGGTGCGGCTTAGATCTTGGGACGAACCGATAGGTTGATTGATCTGTTGACACAATGTATACTGAGTCAAGGCATTACTGCGACTGAACAAAGTAACGAATGGCGAACTCATCCGTCATGCGAGCTGTGATCATCTAATGGCACTCGGGAAGATTAAGTGAGATGTAACTTTCATACTGGGACTCTCAGAAAGCTAGTCAGCAGCTCTGGTATGCCTAATATGAATATTGAGAGTGGACTGCTGTTCCCAATGTCGACGAAATTAGAGTTCCGGGTTCTGGACGGCATCGACATATCGCCATCTCGGATAACCCGGCTGGTGTTTAGGGGTGTATCTCGATGAATCTCGCTCTCATCAGCTGTCGTGAAAGCCCTGTATCATCATTATTTTCGAAGAAACTTTGGCAATGTACAAATCTTATTGCATTTTCCTCAAAAGCCAGACTATTGGTACCTAGTCAAGGCGCCGGTTACCGACGACGGACAGGTCCAGGGCACCAGCAGAATTGAACGTTGATAATTACAGGTGCAAGAAATACTCCTCTGTAAAGCGATTCCAACAGTCACTAATATCCAGCAAAGTCACCAATCTCGACATTAGGCGTGATGTATGGTTGAATCTTGTCCCTCGTCTTGGTCCTCTGCTCGTAAGCATAGGCCAGGCTGATGAGCTTTGCTTCGGAGAACTTTGCGCCGAGGAAGCTGATACCGAATCTAGGAGCAATCAGTATCCGTCATCAAGCAGTTAGTTGCAAGGTCTACTTACGGGACATGCGGACCAGTATCGACGAGGTTACCCCTCCTATTCTTGATCACCGTGGCGTTCGCGGGATAGAAACCCAGGGGAACGGTAACCACAGGTGCGCCCACGATAGCGGCCCAGGTGCTGGAGAAGCTCGTCGGCAAGATGACGGCGTCGAGATTGTGCCTTTCCAGTGTTCCAAATAGCCCGCCTTCACCACCGAGGAATGCGCTCTCTTGCCAGGCGGCCCAGAATCGCGGGTCGGTGTTGTTGAACCCTTGCTCGTCAAGAGCCTCATCCCAGACACCCGTGTTGCGATCAGGGTAATCCTCGAGCGCGAATGATTGCGTGAAATCGCGGACGTCGGCCAGAGACTTCACATTGTTCGGGTTGACTGTGAGTTCGGCGAGATAGGAAGCCAAGTTCGAGATGAAGTCTGCGTTCAGGACGATGGTCTCGGAGTTTGACGTAGCTAGCTGCTCCGCGGCGGTAAAGTTGGCATTGTCGACAATTACGGCACCAGCAGCTTTGAATACCTCAAGGGTCTCCTCAAAGGCATCCGTTTCAGTCCCGGTGGTGTTGTCGGAGAAGAGTTCGATGGCATTACGAGGGATTCCGATGCGAGCTCCACGCAGACCGTACATATCGCAAGCAGCTGCGTAGTCTGGGATCTCGCCATTGTTGGGTATCGCTGACGTGTAGTTATCGTTGGGATCTGCGCCGGCGATAGCGTGGAGGATGTAGGCGGCATCCTTGACGGTGCGGGCCATGGGTCCGATGGTATCTTGGTGTTCACTAATCGGTATCACCAGGTGCCGGGAGGTCAGGCCAACGGTTGGCTTGATGCCGACGAGGTTATTACGTTGAGAGGGAGAGACAATGGAACCATCGGTCTGCATAGTGTGAGGAAAGATGATCTAGTGCACATGAAGCTGTATCACGTACCTCGGTGCCCAGAGCCGCAAGTGCGAGGCCGAGATCTGAGGCCACACCACTACCACTGGAACTCCCACTCGGATCTTGCTGGGGATAGTAGGCAGCATAGACCTGACCTCCGTACGCGGACCACCCGTTGCTCGTATTGTTGCTCCTAAAATTGGCCCACTGACTGAGGTTGGTCTTGCCGAGGATAATGGCACCAGCCTCTCGAAGCTTCTTCGCCATGAAGCTATCTTGAGGAACTTTGGCACCTAGCAAGACCCAAGAGCCCGCAGTGTTATTCATCTGGTCGGCGGTCGCGATGTTGTTCTTGATGAGGATGGGAATGCCGTGGAGCGGGCCCTTGATTGTGCCATTGGCGCGCGAAGCATCCAGGTCGGCGGCAATTGACAGAGCATCCGGGTTCACCTCGGCCACGACATTGAGCGTACTATTCACTTGATTGATGCGCCCAAGATAGGCATTGACGAGGTCAACACTGGTGAAGAGCCCGTTTTCGAGGCCCTCGGCCAATTCGTCGAGAGTCACATCTATCAGGCCGGGAAATGGTACACCCTTGACTACAACTCAAGTCAGTTGATAGACCGGACTACAGTTGATATGATGGCAAGCTCACCCGTCGTCAAGCAGGTCGCAATGCCAAAGATGTTCAGCCAGATCAGGGCGAGAATAATCACTGGGCGATAGGTTGCCATTGTGCCCAAGTGAGCGAGAGCAAGTCTCGCGATAGTAAGACTTCAAATGGTTGACTTGATCACGTAGCATCTTCTAGATTATTCAACCTGGGGTTGCTTGCATTATAAACCCAACTGTCCAAGCCAAGATATCTCTGCGTGCATGCCTAGCTCGATGCAGAGGGTGCATCGCGTAGAGTAGTCTGCCGGCACGGCCCCGGAGCCCGGCGAGAGTGATAAGAAACGGCCGGGATCGCGTAGCTTTAGTCAACGCGGAATGATGGCGTATCCAGCCAAGAGAGGCAGCTCATTTTGATAAGAACCCGGGAGCCAAAAGTCATGACGTGTACGGAGAGTGAAATTGGGGTACCTATGGAACGTTTTCTCCCCCTTGTACGCAGTGTTAGTCATATCGGCAGACGTCGATACCCCTCAATTATTGACAAGGCATTCGCTTAAGGTATTGTACCGCAAGATGAAGTGATCAAGCGGTGGTAGCACGGGATGTTGCACCGAGCGGCTGGAGATGCAGCCACAAAACCGGTGAGAAGTGAGGGGCACGGAGGATCCTACGGAAGCACGAGAGAGAAGGGGGAGAGGCGCGGGGATCAGGTGCCGGTCCGCCGGGGGTGCCGCGGGGGGAAAACCCGCAGCGCTGGTGGAGACCTGTGTGTAGGTACGTACCTCCATCCGCTCCCCCGCGTTTCTCCGGCTTATGTCAGCTTATATAAGGCATCTTTCCTGAGGTGGCTGATCTTCGGCCATATCTCCTTATTTTATCAGCCAGCCCCGATTCATCCCCGGCAAGAGGTTTTCCCGCTCGGAACGGCCGGACAGCGCAACGGCTTATGTAAGTGCATTATGTAAGTCGAACCCCCCCCCCCCCCCCTTTCGATGCTCAGACGCGCCCTCGGTCCCCGAACCCCCCTTCATGAGGCCATCGACACGACTCGGACGGTACTGACTTTGGCAAAGCATTCGTCACCCTATGTCTCCATCCTCTCGTCATACCTCGATTGCGCCTGTTCCGTAATCTCAAGGCATGTGGCCCACGCATCGTATATCCAGACTCTGACGTTCTGGCTCGCAGGTGTAGTCTGGAAAGTCTATCTTCTGCCTGTCTATCCATACTGGCTACTCAGTCAAGGAATTCGAGAGTCAAGACTGCAGGATCAACACCTTCCAGAGTTCTGGCCAAGACTGCGAGAGACCAAAAATAGGACCGTGCCAAGAGCCATCTGCAACAGCTCTTCTGCAGGTTCTGCAGCATCGTCACATAATTACCCTGCGCCACAGAGTCTCATACCATCGGTTCCTGCACGTTGCGAGTCTCAAAGATCTGCACAAAGATCGCCTACGCAGAAAGCTTCTTTTGCAGCGTGAACCCGAGGAAACGTCCAAGAGTTGATCCTCCGCCATTCAACGGACCAGGCCGCGTTTGCCAAGTTGACACTGCCGAAGCGTACAACAAATGCATGATATTGCCAGCGGACTAAGCAACCTTACCTGCGGCAACGGCGGAATCTCGCCCACCGGGCTATCACGGAGAAGGCAAGGAAATCACAAGGCAAAACGACGTGGAGCTGCCATTGGCTGAGCCATCGTACCTGCATATCCGCCCCAATAACGACGTCTTGTCTTCTGATACGCCACCTAGGCATGATTCAGTCTGGTCTCTTCAGACGATGTTAGCCCTAACTTTTGAATGAGTAACCTGCCCGTTGAGCCAGCAAAGCCAGCGTCCCAGCCCTGTAAACAAGTACCTTGGTTTCTACGACAATGTATCAGCAGGCCCTACGAAGTGAGAGGCGCATGAAACGATACCTGCTGGGCGTCCATCCTTGTGGATAACTCCCGACTCTCTGGGGGATCGCCGCTGGGGAAGCAGGCAGCTTGGCAGCCCACCTTACCCGCGCCTTTTCATGCACCGAACTCGTCCGCCACCCATATCCACTGGCGGCTGGTCGCCGCTGGATGTCCGTGAGCGACTGCCGCTTTGCCCATCCAAACTGTCAACATTCCTTCGCATGAGGTTGCGCAGAGCACCCGATCTTGTCATCTGAGTGGGCTGTGGTGCACCACGGTTCGCTACGAGATGCTCTTTACCACTGCCGTCTGAAAGGATCCTCCGTCGTTCTCCACGCCAGCTGTCAGGACGTTTCGCTGGCCTCCAAGTGAGAGAGCGCCGGTCTTGGCGGCGTACCATAGTAGTACATGATATCAAGGACGACATGGAAATCGACGTCGGTTTTGCCTATGTGGCTCGTGATGCAAGATTGCATCGTATTGCGTTTGCTGAAAACTTTGCTGCAGAGCCGCGGACTAGTCTAACTATGCTGACCTTAATTCTCACTTTCTCCCCCTTCTCCCCACAACGTGGGTTCTTGGATGAAGGACTAGATCAAGGAGATGAATTACGTTTTTTTCTCAAGCATGGACTGCGAAGTTGAGTTTCTCGGCAAGCGACGATTTACCTCTCAACCTGCATGTAAACCAACCACGGGCCACGCACCAGACCGTCAGGCTTTCAAAACACTTTCGAAATGAAGCTAACACAAACTCGCTGAACTATCGTCAGAATCCAGGGAATCGCAAGAGGGCAAGGTTCCCGAAGCTTCCAGCCTGCATTCGGGCGAAGTCGAACCGCCAGTGTGGTCGCGAGGAGATGACAGCCAACCCCTGGCTTCCACGACCTGGCCCCCTCGTACCTTTGGCGCCATAGGTAAGCTTAAGACCAGGACTCCGCTTGCCGAGAGTATGGAAGGGCAGAGGGATACTCCAGGTCAGCCTCCAGGACACACCATCTCAAGAGAGGCACTGAAACGAATCGACATCGGACGAGTTGGTCCATCTCGCGTCTTCTTGCAGAATTCTGCTCAAGGCTTACATCAGACGAGGAGAGCCTCCACCCACGAAACGCCCCAGCGAAACGTCTCTTCATCCTAGAAAGTTAGGAGAATTAGCGACGCAGGGAGATGCTTCCCACCCTGAGAGAACTCAAGGCGAGCCAGATGCAAGGTAGTATCCTCCACCCAGCGCCGATCCGGCTCTATGCGGTGCGTGGCTCTCGTGAGGTCGGGCACTTGGAGCCGTGAACTCTAGATGCTGTCGACCTGGAGATGCGATTACTAGTTTCAGGCACTCGCGAGTCGCCCTTTCCGTGAATGTTAATCTGAAGTCGCGGCCAATGGATCGACGCCCACCCCTTACGGCTGGCAGAATGGAAGCCATTCCAAGGTTTGGACGAGCATTGCACATCCCTGGGCTCGAGCCAGAATGCATACTCGCTCTTGTTGACTAAACGGAGTATTAAAGAAGTCCTCCATCGCCAACTTCTGTAGTGGGAGGATCAGGCAGGCTCCTCAGTTTACGCCGATACCCTAACGGCAACCTCAGATACGAGTACTCCCCTCCTATCAAGCGCCAAGCTTGTCTTGGTCACCACCTCCTCCAATCATTTGTTGAGCAAATACCACCATTCACTATAATGAGATACTTCACGCCAGCCCTCCTGCTCGCCTCGGCCCTCCTCGTCGGCATCAACGGTGCTCCGGCGGGGACGGACGTTGTCCAACGGGACCTAGGGTAAGCATACATCGCGTTCGTCAAGCAGGTCGTACTCCCGAAACTAACAAACAGTAGCGAGCTGGGCGCTCAGGCGGACGTGCCGCAGATTAATGCCCCCGTCGCCGTCGCCGCTGTTGAACAGCCCGAGACCGCGCTAGTCGCGGAAGATGAGCCGCACATCAAGGAGCGTCAGATTCTGAAGAAACTCGCCAAGCTCCTCGGCAAGAAAAAGAAGAAGAAGAAGAAGAAGAAGGCGAAGGCCGCCAAGGCAAAGGCAAAGGCAAAGGCGAAGGTCAACACTCCACCTCCGGCCAAGGCGGCACCGCCTCCGGCCAAGGTCACTCCGCCGACTCCGCCTGCCGCCCAGCCTCCCGCCGCCGCCCCTCCCGCTGCTACTCCGTCCAAACCACCCGCTGGCGCGCCCAAACCACCTGCTGCGAATCCCAAGAAGGCCGGCGCCGCGGCTGGAGCCGGAGCTGCCGCGGCTGGAGGAAATGCTGCTGGAGCTGCCAAAGGTAATCCAAACCAAGGTGCTAAACCCGTCCCACCTGCTCCTGTTCCCGCCGGCGCAATTGCGGCCGGTTCAAAACCCAAGCCTCCGGCTGGAGGAACGCCCAAGGCGGGCGGTAACACAAACACAAACAACCCAAAGGATCCAGCCCCTGCCCCCGCTGGAGCTCTCATGGCTGGTGCCCTCGCCGGAGGTGCGACAAATGGGAATAAGCCTGGTGCTGCCCCTCAGACACCTCCCAAGCCGCAAGCCCCTCCTCCTCCTCCTCCCCAACAGCCTCAGACGCCTCAGAATCCCGCACCGCAGACACCACAGAACCCTCCAAAGCCCCAAACACCGCCCCCTAAGCCCGGTGGAAGTGGTGGTTTACCCCTTGCGGTTCCTGGTAGGAACTCTGTATGAGAGCTTGTGTTGACGAAATGGTTTTTGCGCAGTTTGAGTCAGCAATCGTTCGGAGATAGCGAACACACGGGACAAATTACAATCGACAAGACACTCATTTTCATGCCTCGTGGGTAACCTAAAACTCCATAATTCAATAACTCTATTCGGTGGAACATATTTGGTGAGAAAGTCGTGGGCATGTCACTCGGTGAGACTACAAAGGCTTTGGCTTGGCTGGGAAATCCGAGTGTGTGTACATAGGGATGACAAAGACATGAATGATGACTGGACAACAAGTCGGGTTCTATGCCGAAAGCGCTCCAAATGTGATAGGCATGATCCTCTTTTGTTCTGTGCGGTGCCTGGTGAGTTGCTTCTAGCCGAAGTTTATTGTTCTGATGCAAAGTTACGGCCATTAGAGTAGTTTCAGCTCGCCAATAAGGCACGGTTACAAAGTTTATTCATGACGCAGATGCGTCGATGGCGACGAGTCTGCCCAAAGTGAACTTCGCAATGGCGAATGCGACCGTCAAGAGTGGTGCTTTTTAGTCTTCCGATACCGTTTGAGATGGTCACGCTCGATCCTGGAGCCCGGGCAGCATCTCTCCCTCATACCAACCATCCCTTTCGTATCACCCGTTCGGTACCGTTCGGTACCATTCGGTGGCCAAACTTGTTGTCAGAGTTGGCCCTGCATAGAGCAAACAGGCAAGCTCTCTTATCGGGAAAGACGAGGGGAATCTGAGGTGACTGGGCAGAAACTTCCATCGACAATTCGAACTGTCAAGCGGCCTTCGGAGATTCGAGATGCTCGGAATTCTGCTACTTTCATCAAGCATGATGGTGTCCGCGCTTACTTCCCATGGATGCCGCGGAAGATCAACTGAACTTAAAGATCACAGGTAAAGCTGTAGCCCCTTTCCAACTGGTAATTCATCTTACTTCCTCTTGAAGAGCTGCTTCGTAGATAGCCACATCCCCAGTCAGTCTCGATGTTTATCGAAGGACGAGTTCAGTGGAAGTTTGCCTAGTTCAGTTTGACCAAAGACGCCGTTCCTCCCCGAGAAGCTTCGCAACTGTTGAAGTAGGCCACACCTAGTTACCTACACCTGGTGAAGTCAGCGAAGAAAAGCGCGAAATCTTCCGATTGCAATCCCGGCACTGGGGCCTTCTACCAAAGGGATAATAAAGGAGATAACATGCGCATGTCAGTCGAAGATTTAATGTTGCAAAGTTCAATTAATACGCAATGAAGCCAGTTTTCGGAGGGATGCACACACATAACCTTCCGTCAAATTATTGCTCACCCTCCCGGGCCCGGAGCCGTTGCCGTTCAACGCTGCGGTATTAGGTCATCCTGGGATTTTACATGGCGGGAAGAAACGCAAGGCTGATGACACTGTCCCTAAGCACCGCAGCGCAGACGAATTGCAGCGCAATCATTACGTGTTGCTATGATGGCAAAGTAAATTTATCTGACAAGTAGATTCGGTAATGAAGGGTTGCCCAGTCATGTAGGGCGCATCCCATTCGTTTGGCCACAAGCAAACAACAGCCCAGGTGGTGCCCTTCTCATGCCCTCAGCCCCTGCCGCGAAGTCGTCACTCGAATAGTTTATACTACAAGGATCGACTCACAAGACGTCCTTGATGACCGTGCGACTACATAAACACTTTATGTTGGTAACTAAGGCTGTTTACAAACCGTGAGTTGCGTATTGGACACACTTTCGTGGCCGTGAGTTCTACAGCAGCTACGAGCGAGTCGCTGAAAGATATCTTTCTAGCAACCCCCTCTGCACTAATATCGTTCCTAGGCGCAAGAGATTCTGATAGGTAGCTAATGAGATCTGCTGGGGCCAAAGTCCTATTAGGACCTTCTGATGCTGATCGAATATTCTAATAGCAGGCACCCGACACTGATCTTGAACGTACACAAAAGAATGGAACTGCCCGTAGCACCCAGTAAGGGATGGAATGGGTCTTAGAATCACGGACCTTTTGTTCGATCAAAGCCTGGTGCTGCGTCGTGAAACCTCATAGAGAAGAATAGTCCTCCTGCGCCCCTTGCCAAGTAATTACGACGTGTCGATTGTGCCGGAAAGAGATTATCTGGCTCAAACCGGCGGGAGAACTCAGCACCATTGTTGAAGGCGGGCTTATTCAAAATCTAATGGACAGCATAAGAGGATCGCAATCACGTCGAGAATAGCAAGATACTGTCGTGGGATACTCTGACACTCAATGCGGTCTCGGTCTTATGCAGCTTTCTACCGCATAACTTCTTTTTGAGAATCTTCATCTTCCCGCTGGAAAAGCTTTGGATCAATCATACAACATCCTGGTTCACCAGCTTCAGCGCGTCCAATATGCTCCCACCCGGTAGTCCAGGCCGTAAGATCCTCGGATTTCTCTTCGGCATCAACGACAGGATCTACAATCTCATGTGGTCCCATGACAAAGGCATCCCAACGGAGCATGTCGACCACACTCTGGTCACGATTATGCTGGGTGACGAAAGCGGAGCAGGAGGCCATCAGCCTCAGATGGAACTATACGACGACTTTGGCGCAATGATTGGACATCGCATGACGAATGACGGTGACCGGATCGGAAAGAACAACAACCTCGACGATTCTATCTACAAGATCGAACACAACGTGCACGTAGACAAGATGACGACGCCAAAGTACATTGTCATCAACCAGTGGAGTTCCGATGCCATCTGTGTCTCGGCGATCCAGGTGTCAAACGGGAAACTCTCGTCCGTCTTTTACGGTGATCTTGGTGCCCTCTGTGGACAGAGCTGGTTCTTCAGCCGGCGACGGCTAGATGCCAAACTCATGCATCCAAAGTGCGTTTGGCTTGACGAGGACCATACCAACGGCTTCAACGCGCGAGCCATGAGCTTTCATCTCAACGACATGCTTGGAACACCAGATAAAGTCAAGATGTACAAGGAGAACCCTCAGGAGTACTTGTGTAAGAGCACTCCTCGTTTCTCGTTCTGGTATCAGCTTCGGCCGGGGGCCAACCTTCCCTTCTTCAAGCCTCCCCTGGAGTACGAACGGGACGCAATCACCGGACAAGAAGGTCGAGACAAGGACCCACAACGCGCAGTTGACAAGGTCAAGTGGGACAAGATGACCGACCACGACCCCCAGCCTATTGCAAGACGTTCTATGACGGCGTCTGAACGAAGGGCCAAGAGAAAGAAGTTGGCCAAGAGACAAGGCAGAAACCCTGATATCACTCATCTCATCATCACCCGCGCTGAGGAACATGCAGCGTCGTTGGTTTGCAACAGTACAACGTCTTACGGCCACGATGTTGTATCTCTTCACGAAAAGACTTACTGCGATATGACCGTTAAGAGACTCTACAACCTTTGCGACAATACTTTCAAGGAGGACTGTTTTGACGTGGAACGAAGAACTCTAATAGGCCATGGTGGAATCGGTGCTCGTGGCGAAATATCCGCTGTCGGCAATCCTCAGAAGCGATATGAAACAGCAGCCCACTGGGAAGAATAATTTTACTTGTCTTTGAAAGCTTCGAAAGTGAACCCAGTCCTTAGAGAAACTGCACAGTTCTACACTTCTATTCTACCTTATTTGTTAGACTTTGAACCCAAGATATGGGCATTTTCTCTGATACAGACTTCTGTCAAGTGAGATCATGGGAGGGAAGGGGGTTTCATGGCGCAAAAATTAAAAGTTGCTACAATAGAACTAGAAACCCACTCCTAATCCAATGGACTTCTATCATCATAAACTTTGAGGGATCAAAGAATTTAGCACCGGTAAGAAGCCTACGACATATCTGGTAGTAATTAACTCTATTTATCTTCACAAGGGAGACGTTAGCAAAATTCTGACTACGAGATGTAGTTTCCCAAGCCACTATAGTCACGTCAATTAACTCACATCTTAGAAGCCGAGTCTCTTCAAACTAGTACAACCAACTGCGTATTTAGGCATGTGTTGTTTCGGATGGTACCCGTTACGTACACAACCGAAGAAACAGCGCCTAGGAAGCCTTTGCAGCCTGAGTCAACCTCCTCAGCGATGCGATCTGGCCTTGACAAAATGCCACAGCCTGTTGCTTAACGCTATTTTCATGCTGCTGCTCCACTATCTTAGCCCCAGATACCCAGGTGACGATAGTCTCTTCTGGGCTGGAAGGATGAAGTTGCGCGGCCGCAAGGACTTCCGTTGCCGGACTCGAGCTCGGCTCAAGCACTTCGTACTGCAACTTGAAGCTAGTGTGGTCGCACACGAGTATTCGCTCGTCAAAATAGACTTCGCCAAAGTAGACGCGACGGACGGCGCCGTGGCCGTATCCTTCCAGCACGGCGGATCGGGTGCAGCCCGGGATCAGGATCCTCTCGGCTCCGATCGCCGACAGAAACGGCCAAATTTCGTTGGCCGGGGCATTGATTGTTTCCGTAACTGAGGCCAAGACGGTCCTTCCATCTAAGTCTTCGACTGACATTCTCAGTCTTGATACTCGGACATCAGTAGCCGTAGCTATTGGCAGAATTATTGTACAGCAACGGCTGTGTACATACCTAAGTCGTATGCTCGTTATCTTCCAATCTACCTAGTGGAGGTTGTGATTTTCTCTGTAAATGAATGGTGTGGGTCTACAGCTCATATGTTCACATATTCTTATCTCAATGAGCTGGATTATATATTTTTCTGGGTTTCCTTGACGCAGTGATAGTCGGCCGTCGGACGGACGAAAGATGAAATTTGTAAGCTCTATAAGTCTTGTGTGTGGGGAGGCTGCTGGCCTTTCGGTCTCCTTAATCCACCCCGAAAGCGAGAGCGAAACTCCACGTCAAAATCGCTTCATTATCAGACTTATGCCAATCGGCTATCTTGCCCCTCTCCCGAAGGAATCAGAAATCATCTCTGTCAGAGCAGATAGTTGAGAAACGCAGGCTCTTAAACATCCTGTGTGCAGTGTTGTCGTCTATATAAAGTTCGACAATTGTTATCATGAATGCAATAGAATGTAGTGTAAGCAGGGAGTGTGATACATCATTCACAGAGAAAACGCAAGGATGGTCACCGAGAAGAAGAACGTTGCCATGATATTCGGAGCCTCTGGTATTGTGAGTCTCTCAAGTCGCACTTCCAGTCCCTTCTTCTTCATACTGAAAATCCTAGTCCGGCTGGGCTTTGATGCGCGAGTGTCTTAGCTATCCATCAGCAACCACATTTAATCGTGTCATTGGCTTAAGCAAGAGGCCCATCAGCAGGATAAGAGCGCGGTTACAGGACGACCCAAGACTTGAAATACACACTGGACTGGATCTTACCGATGCCGACTTGACGCTTCAGAGACTTGAGACTATCCCAGACGTCGATAGTGTCACGCACGTGTACTTTTTGGGTGAGTTTTACTTCCTTAGCTTGGGCATAAAAGCACAGCATGATTACTTAGGTGGGCTAAGAACAGCTTTTCAGCGTACACGAGCCATGAAAGCCATCCAGAAGACCAAGTTAAAACTAACGCTGCCATCGTTGATAACGCCCTGGCAGCTGTCAAGAATCTGTGCCCGAATCTCGCATTTGTATCTCTACAGACAGGCGGGAAGGTAAGCAGAAGCTCGCCTGCGTGAGTTTAGCTTCAACTCAAACCTTCACTAGGGCTACGGAACAGTAGGATACGGCTGGCCACCTGCACCGTGGAAGGAGGACCTAGCCCGTTTGCCAGAACCGTACGCGTCCAAGATTTTCTACTACGCACAATACGATGTGGTGGCCAGGCACGCCACGGACAGTTCGTGGAAATGGACTGAAGTCAGGCCGTCCTTTCTGGTGAGCATCTCGACAATAGTTGCGCTATAACTCCCTCAATCTAAGCCTTATCTGACAGAGCCTACTCTTTAGCCTGGCTTCGTCCCCCAATTCAACGCTATGAACGTGGCACAGAGCTTGGGACTTTATCTATCGTTCTACCGCTCTGCGTATGGTTATGGGGCAGCCTGTCCCTTTCCAGGAACCCGAGAATCCTGGAGGGCACTACACACCGATTCTTTCCAATATCTGGTTGCCCGTTTCCATATTCATGCCTCCTTGCATCCGGATAAGACCCACGAGAGGTCGTTTAATGTTGGAGACGGCAATTCTGTCTCATGGGAGATGAAGTGGCGACTGGTCTGCCAGTACTTTGGCCTCGACGGAGTTGGGCCACAGGACCAGCCCGCTAGCCAGGCATTCGGGATCGACTGGCTCATTGCCCAGAAAGACGGGTGGCCAGACTGGGTTCTCGCCAACGGCCTTGAACAGGGAGCCCTTGAGAATGTTAATTGGGATATACTGGCTGCCACTTTGACCTGGCCGATGCGCATCGACTATGACCTGACGGCATCTCGAGACATTGGGTTCACCGAGACTCTGGAGCCCGGAAGGGGGTATATCTTAGCTTTCGACCGGCTTGTAGAAGCCAATTTCCTACCTAGTTATTGAAAGATTTAAGCCTGTTTTGACTGGCTGTCATGTAATACGGGCGGCAGAAGTAGTTTCAAAGAAATGGGTAGCCGGGAGAGTAGAGTAATCGTACCCATCGACTCTATTTTCTTTAAAGCCTGCTGAGATCGAGCAAACAAGCCGGACATGGAGACTAGCCTATTTATGCAAATGACCCTTTTCTTTTGTGTTATTCGAGTATGAGTTATTGGTCAGCCCTCAGGGTATATGCTATATGGGGACCAATTGCATCAATATCAGCTACGCATCCGACGATTGAACAATTACCCAGAGTAATTATGGGAGTCGATGTCTAATGTGATAGGGCATCTACTATGTAAACTGTTTTCTCCGAACAGATCCTTGAATAATGATAGTCAACTGAGTCGATACATAAGTAGCTAGCCCTTGGTCTTCTGCCTCGTTATCCCATGAACCGTATGGTATCGACTTAGGTAGCTGAGCAGATTGATCGGTACTCGATGCAACACGGAAACCAGTCATAAGTTATTTATGCCGATCCGGATCGTGGAGGCCGCGAGTTGACCATGATGCAGGGGTCTCCCGGATCGATAGGCTCGGGCCGAGGGTTCACCTCAACGGGATCTTCTGTCAGTCACCACGAACTATGGAGAGACGCTTTCAAATTGGTGGATATAGAATAAATAATCAATCCGTGTGGGCCCCAATTGACCATAGGCTTTTGGCCATTAGGTTGACGAACTGGTGATCATCATGACAGCTTTCTTGGCTTTTGCTTGACAGTCGAGAATGTCTGCAGACTTGCATCCTCACTTGAATCTGCCAAAATGACGAGACGTCTTATTGCCATCCAATTCTCTGCGTCAGATGGCCTGCAAGTCCTAGCCCGTTTCCCCAGTCCTTTGACATGAGCTGTCTAATCCATCAAACCGTGCATGTACCCAGGGGCAAAGAACCGAGAGCCCACGTGAAGACGGGCTCTGGTACTTACTTGCCGATTATTAGCGCAATTCTTTGCTCCATTGGGAAAGCAATGCGGCGTCTTAGGCATGAAGTACGGACCACCGAGGCCAGGCGTTCGAGCACCATAATGACTTCCAATTGGGATGTACGCTGCACGTTTCAAGGTTTCAGCAGAAACACCAGACGATTTGTTACAGAAAAGACCGCCTCAGAGGAGGTCTATCTTCATGAGCAGCCAAAGAGATCGACCTACAGCCAGAGACAAGAGACAGGCCATCCTAGTCAAATTGCTGATCATTGAGAGTGGCAGGTGGCAATTCATCAGGGCAAAAATGACAATACCCAGTCCTGAGGCGGAAATTTCGCCCGATGAAATAGCCGAATTGATGGAAAGAAAGAGAGGCTTGTGAATTGGGGTGTTCGTAAGCTAGTCTCGTGAAAATATAATGAGTCGCTCTGGCTTATGCATTGATCGCTCAATGACTATCGTTTATGTTCCTGAGTGCTACATGTACGCACCGTCACAGGTGGAGGCCGCTCTCTCAAATACAGACGCTGATGGTAACCGTTCCGGCGCGGTTGATGCTTCGTGTATGTCTAGAACGCCTCGCTCAAAAATACAAGTCAATGTCCCTCGTGATCATTTTCTAATCATGATCGGCAAGAAAAACAGGCTTTAGGCTTTTTGCCGGTCTGGATGATCTTGTACACCAACCTTTGACCTCCTCTTCTCCCTCTGAGCCCGCCACTTGGGCCCCCAGAATTGATTGACAACCTGAATGGGAGACACAGCTATGACCGCCATGCCGAGAACAAGGAACGCGGTGCCAGGGCCAACGGCGTTGAGCATCTGCTCTGCGAATGCCACGCCGAGAGCTGCCAGCCCGCAGCGGACCACGTTGTTGATGGCTGTGGCACTCGCGCCCTCACCGGGGCAAAGATCCGAAATGATGGTCTGGTTCAACGCAAAGATGGCGTTCGCCGATGCGGCAATGAGAAATTGCATTGTCAAGGGCAACGCAATCCACCCTGGTCGGGATGTTGCAGTGGGATACGCCAAAGAAAAACCGTAGCCGACGATAGAGGCAACGAACAGGAAGACTATCCACGGGAGGCGTCTCAGACGGGCCTGCTCCAAAGGGAAATCCGGCGCAATATCCTTGGGTGACAGTTCCTCGTCGTAAGGGATGTTGTGGGTTTCCTTGTATTGGGTCTCAACGGCTTTGTAGTCTCGAGTCAGAAGCTTGCCCGCAAACACGGAGCCGACAATGGTCCCAATTCCTACCCACACAGGTCAGTCACGTCCGGACAGTCCCGCTTCCATCGGAGTTCAAGCCACCCAATCAGTGTTTGATGTTCGGAAGGAGTGTTTTTTACTGACCATTGGGTATGAATGCCACACCAAGAAGGAGTTCATTCAATCCGAACCGCTCCTTAAACAGTGGAGTTGTGCTAGTCGTGACCATGTTCCAGATGGCATAGATCACACCACCCCAGACGAGGTTGATCACCAAGTCCTTCTCTTTGAAGAGCTTGAACGGCCTCAAAAAGGTCCATATGGTAATCTTTCGATTGAGAGGTCCATCTGGGTCCTCCATGTACTTCGGCTCCTTGGTCACGTATCTGTAAAGCGGCTTGTAGATGATGCCTTTCAGACGGAGGGATCCATTGCCAGCAATAGTTCTCAAAGTCTCTGGTAGAAATACCATAATCGTGATGAGAATCAGCGACGTGGCGATGAGCAAGAAAACAAACACGGATCGAAAGCCCAAGGAATTGGCGAGAGCACCTCCTAACAGCGGGCCGATCGCTGTGCTGAAATTTCGGACTACAAAAAATTAGATGCCGTTCAAGGCCCCGGCGGAGAATATCACGACTCACTCGCTTGATAGAAGCTGATATATGCGCCCCTTTCGGCCGTCGGAGAGATATCCTGGATAACACCGTTGCCTGTCACACCATACCCGTTAGCTGCCAAGTTTGGAAATTGAAGAGACGGCTGAGACGGAACACCTACCGATACTGACAGTTGAGGCACTTCCTGCAGCTTGGAGGCCCCGGAAGATAAGCAATATCGCGTAGTTTGGCGAGAAGCTCAACGCAACGTTGGCGCCAATGTAAACGCCCATGGAAGCGATGTAAGTCGGCCGCCGGCCGAGCGTGTCAGACATGGGACCCCATAGCAGCGGTGTAACGGCTTGCATGATCAAGTAAGACGTGATTGTCAGTGACACTTGCGATGCACTAACCTTCAACTCCTGAATTGGTATGTTAGCATCTGCCGCGCGCGTGAGTTGTTTTGGAAGAGTGATGTGAAATCTCCACTTACCCTTGATATTGCATCCAGGGAAGGGTTGTAAATGTTGGACGACAACCCTGAGAAAAGACCCGCAGAAGCAATAATGATGAGAATGAGCCACTTCTGTCTCTTTGTGAACACTGAAAATGGTTCGTCATTACCATCATCATTGTCGTCATCTTGCTGGACCTCCACTTCATTGGAGTCATCGAAGGGATTCCGGTCTTGACCTCCACGGCCCTCATCATACTGATTGTATTGGGAGTCTTCAAACGACTTGGTGCGGGGCTCTCCAGTGCTGCTGTCCTTCTGCCATGTCCTCTTCCGGATGGGCGGCGGCCTCAGCGGCAGAATGTTACGGCCGCGCGGGGCTCCTAGTCGGATGCTAGTGCCGGCCCGAGATAACCGAGTGGGAAAGGCCTTTTCGTCATGATATCGGTCCGGCATGTACTCGTAGTCATGGGCGAGAAAGTTGTATGCTGCAGCTGATGCAGCAGTCAGACTTCCGAGCAGTCCCCTCCTCACGTCCGGTCGCGGCGGCGGCTGCGGCTGTAGCCGATTGGGATTCATAGCTTAATTTGACTCTGAATCCGTTTTCGATTTTGTCAGTTCAAAATGAAAGAGACCAAAGTATGGAAGACTAGATCTCAGTCCCGGCACAGTCTCTACGCTCGGTTATCTCATGCATATAAAGAACAATATTGGCCAAGTCCACCGGCTGGTCTGGAAGCCCATTTCAGCTTTCACCGCCACGCTGTGACGCAGCCAGCTGGTATTCATCATCGTCCTGACGTCAATTAGAGATCGCGAACACGGCTGAAAGAGCTAAATCGAATTTAGATAATCAGCTCGAGAAAGAAACCTCAGAGTTGATGAGAGGAACAGGCTCACCCTCGTAAGAGATGGTCCGGGGATGCCTGCGACTCACCGCACGGCCGCCCACCCCCAAATGCATGGGAAGCGCAAGGAGGCTCAAGAGGTTACAGAAAGTGGTTTCGTAAAACACTGAAGCCATTGGACGTCCCATCTTCTAGACCACTTCTGCCTCCTTTGTGAAACACCGAGGCTGCATCGACGCCGCGTCGCAGTTGTCGCCCACAACGAGTCGACGCTTCGAAGTCTATCTATGGCTCTCCGACCCCCTCCCACCCCCCTTCTCCTCTCAACACAAACAGTAGAGGAACTCTAAGGGCAGAGGAAACAAACCGGAGCAGAGAAAAAGAGAGGGTCGGGGAGCGCACGTTCACCCAATGGGCCAAAGCCGGCCTTAAGTCGATCACCTTCTTTTCCTCTTGTCTCCGGCAACCGTGTTAATGACACCCAATTCCCATCATGTCTACCCGTCAGTCGGAAACTTGACGCCCACTTGCCCCTTTGGGACACATCTCAACCCCGTAGACCAGCGCGAAAAGGCCCGGGCCCGAGTGGTGGCGCCTCGGCCTTGTAAGTTTGACACGAGCCAGAAGTCAAATGATGGATGAGACTAGCAGAGACTGACAGAATGGACGAGCACAAGGCCTGAATAAGAAGTGCATGGGTTCCACCTCGCTCGCTACCCCGGCCGCTGCCTACCCAGTATCCCAGGACCCTTTCTCTCGGTTATTTGCAACCGGACTAGCACGACAAGCGCATCTGTGATACGCTTGACAAGTGCCTCACGACCTCTCGGCTCACCTACCGAAGCAGAGATGTTTTAGACAGTGAATCGACATACCGAGCAAAGTAGAAGATCGACTAGCCGCTTCAGCAACAACATTAACGGCGTGGAGGGTGAAGCAAGCGATGGATATGGGAAACCGCAACGTTGCCAAGCGCGACGAGGAAGAGGAGGAAGAGATTCGAGATGTTCGCCGACAAATGCAAGATGCCGAAGCAGCCAACGCCCAAGCTGTCGCCGCAGGAGCTGCAAAGCAAGCGAGCGCGCCCAACGCCAACGCGCTCCCTCTTGATCCGAACCAGCTTCTCTCAGTCCTAGGTCTCCTCAGTGGTCAACCTCAAGCCACGCCAGCGGCACCTGGACAGCCCGTGGCTACAGGACTGCCTCCGAACAACAATGCCAATGTACCGACGGTCACCATCTTCGTGACGGTGACGCCCCCAGCTGCGACACAGACCGTGATGATCATGGTCCCGACAACAGTTACGGTGACTGCGACACCAGTAGCGCCTCCCCCAGTCAATCAGCCTCCTCCTCCACCGCCAGCCCCGCCAATTCAGACATCACCGCCGCCACCAGCACCGCCGATGAGCACTCCGCCGCCTCCTCCTCCGCCGGTCGTCGCCCCCCCACCACCTCCACCACCGCCTCCAGCCAGCGGGCTCACTATGCCTCTTGTTGGAGCGAGCCCGTTCCCGATGCCGCCTCCTGCGGCGTCCGTGTCTGCCCCCATGTCTTCAGCATCATCAACAGGAACTCCCAAGGGAGCCGGCGGTACTCCTACAGCTGTAGTATTGTTGGGTGTCTTTGGCGGTGTTGGTAAGTCAAGCTTGCTGAAGCTCAACTAGTGAGTTACCCGCTAACAGAGAGCCTAGCTGGTGTGTCCCTCTTGGCAATGGGAGCATTCGTGTATGGTTTGATGAGAAGAAGAAAGAATAAGTCTGAAGCAGAGGTAAGCATCTAATGGAATCCTCGATATCAGTTAGGCGCTGACGAGTTGTTAGACTGCGAGCGTCCAGAGTATGCAGATCGGAAGGCCAATGCCCTCCTGAGTTCTTCAACAGAACCAGTGAGGCGTGGTATTGTAGACTTTTCCCAGATTATTGGCGGTGTCATCAAGGCAACTTCATGGTCTAGAGTTGATAGCAAAATCCGGACATGCCCCAACACACCAGAGGGCAAATATTTTCGGTTACCTCAGGCGAGGGAAAAGGCAGGTATCTGCTGGAATTCCGCTTCTCCCATTCCAGTTACTTGATGTAAGATCAGAAGCGTTGGAATTTTTGGAATACAATTATTGTCTATTGTTTAATATCATACACTCAAAAACCCTGTTTCACGCAATCATGATGAAAGGATACACTCACCGCATAATCATGCTGTTGGCTGAGCCAAGCCGTCCCATACCTCTTTCAACCATTCGGCGACTTTGGCGGCGATCATCTCGCTGTTCTTTTCCGTAGTGCAAAAAGCGTGAGGAAGTCCCGTGTCGTCAATCTCAACCCTCGCCCAACCGTTTTCGATGTGCTTCTCTCGGGCCCTGATGAAGTGGTCTCGGAAATGGTCTCCAACCCAGTGGTCCCTTTTCGCGAAAAAGAAGAAGAATCTAGGCGCAGCGCGCTTGCCGTTCCCCACATCGTCCTCTTCAACCTCCCAGAGTTCCTTATCCCACTTCTCCTCGGTAATAACTTTCATCTCATCTTTGCCCATGTGAATGGCTTGCCATACTCCGTCCCGACTCTTCAAGAAACTGGTCGTGACATCTGCTGCTTTGGGACCCATGCCTAGGACATTGCCAACGAACCACCGAAGCGCTACCGCCGGCCAGAGGTTCAAAAACTTTTGGGCGATCACGTGTGCGGTATTGTTGAGGAATGGTGTCGTACGAATGAGTTCCATTTGCTTTCCGCTCGGCGATTTGGAAATATGTGTGACCGTTGGGAAGAGCAGCATGCCCGTGAGAAGTTTGAGATGGGGCGCGCGCGAGGGATCCTTAAGGTGCCGGTGGAAAATCTCAAGGGCGATGTAGCTACCGACCGAATGGCCTGCGATCACGACAAAGTCATATGGCTCGCCTTTCTTGCCCGGCGCATTGCGAGAAGAGTCTGTCCGCCGCAATGATGCCAAATGGTCAAAAACAAGCTCAATCTGATGTTCCACATCATACGGCGGACTGTCTTTGCTGAACGGCTCGTGGCTGTCATCTCTAAACCCAAAGAGATCGCGGCCGTGGACGTGAATGTGGCCGTCGGCCCAGCCGATGCGGGCCTTTAGCGCATCGAAGAAGTCGGTGTAGTAATCGACGAGTCCTGGGTTGCCGGGAATGAAGAAGAAGAGGCCGTGTCCCGCCGCCATTGTCTGTGTTCGTGTGCGTGGAAGAGTGTCTTTTCCCTCGCGCTTTGGTGAAGCCGTCTTGCAACACAGCACGGCCCGCACAGATTCTGTCGGCTCTGTGCCGAGAGTTGACGTCGTCTGAAGTCGAGAGGTCCGGCAACGAGAGGCGGAACTTTGGAAAGGAGGTTGAAGGACGGAAGATCCACCTCGGCAATGAGTCGCGAAATTGGTGGGAAGTTTCCACGCGCTGCATTAGTGTCGGAGATAATGCGCCGTCGGCGTTTATGGTGCTCGACGATACGTACCTCGATTCTGGTGATGGCTTCATTTCTCCGACCACTGATGATGGGACGATTGCACACACCGTACTTTGTGAACCGGAATCGTTTAATGAGGAGTTATTCGCGTCTATAATAGCGTGAGTTGGAGTGACAACCGCCGAACCTTAAGGGATTGAATTAAACATGTTAAATGCATGCCTCTCCTGCGTGTGTTTAGATCAATGTGTACTTCATAATCTCCTTATCGTGTATCATTCATCAACAAGCCCATTCACTGTAATACCTTCAATAAGCCGCATCAGAACTTGAAACGGAAACTGGGATGCATCCATCCAAGTCTAAACTCATGCTCTTCTGCTGATAGGCCGTCCCTATGACTCTCATCTAGTCGAAAGTCGCGCTCTCCTCGCGACCTTCTTTTGTTCTCTTGCTTCATGTACAGGGGCAAAACAATTCCTATCACCAATAACCCAACCAGGCAGCCAAAGTTGATGAAGTGCCCTTTGAGATATCTGAGAAATGACCGAGTCAGTGAACTAAAACGTACAAGAATAGTCACGAGGATAAATTACCTGGGTGCTTCATCTTTAATGTAGGTGAAGGAAGCGAGGAAAGCAGCCGAGTTTCCAATCGACAGTAAGAAACCCAAAGCAACGGCACGTACATAGTGCGGAGATGCGTTGATGCTCATCCAAGTGAGTGCCAGAGGGGGTGTTGCGTTGACTGACATGGCGACGAAGAATGAGCCTGCGTACTGAATCTTGATGTTCATGTAAGATGGTGCCGGACCGACGTGGGCACCAACGATCATCATGATGTACCCGAGAATGCCGGTCATACTGCAGACGTTCAAGGGCAGTGCAGTCTTTCCAGACCGACGACTCCAGAAGGAGATGCCAATAGTGAAGAGTAAGGCCGCAAAGTTCGGCGGGGCCGTCATCAATGATGCCTGGAGCTTTCTGTACCCCATGGCAGAAATAATCGTTGGGAGAAACATGGAAAAGCTGTAGATGGCCTGGATGGAGCAGAAGCTGCCGAGAGCCATCAGAATGGTGATGACATTGCCCATTGCTCCTAGGATAATCTTCCAGGTAAGGGGGTCCTTCTTATTCCGGAGCCTCAACATGCCACCTTGTCCGTCTTCTCCTGCTGATTCTTGATCGGATAGGCGAGGATTACCGAGATAGTGCCATCGATCTTGACATTGCATCCTCGCAACAGCGAGCGTTTTTTCGTTTGGTGACAGAAATCTGGCGTCGGCAGGTGTGTGCGGCAAAGTGAACAGTAGCAGAACGCCAAGCAAGATGGTCAAGGCCCCTTCAATGAAGAAAATCCAGGGCCATCCGTCATAGCCACGGACCTTAATCTGTCCAATTCCAGCAGCCATCAAGCCACCGAGGAACCCAGCGAGGGCGGTACTCGAGTAGAACAAGCCCATGCGAAGGATGAGCTCGTCGGCGGTGTAGAAGAAGCCAAGATAGATCAACACACCACCGAGAAAGGAGCTTTCGGTCAAGCCAAGGAAAGCGCGCGTAATGCAGAGACCCACAAAGTTGGTGATCAAGCCGCTGAGAGTGGTGACTATTCCCCATGAGATGATCAAGGCCGGCAGCCATATTGCGCCTCCGACGCGGCGTACGGCTAGGTTTCCTGGGATATTGAATAAGATGTTGAGGATGAAGAACATTGCCAGAGCTGTGTTGAATTGGTTGCCAACCAGCTTGAGGTCTCGTTCAAGTCCATTGATGCGAGCGAGAGCAATGTTGCTCTTGTCGAGGAAGAAGAGAAGATGTGCAAGGAACATGGCAGGTACCAGCCTGTGATCGAACTTGCGGACAAGGCTCGACCGAACTTTTTCATTCTCCGCAGCGTTCCTTGGGGCGATGGAATCGGTGTTGGTGTCGCTTGTTGTTTGCCCGATAGCATCACCATACTTCTCCTCATAAGAACCGGTCGCACCAAGACCAGCTCCATCAATGTTGCCATTTCTGGTCAAATCATGGGCTCTTGGCGAAGATTTGCTGTCATTTGAGATTCCACAACCTTTCGTCATTTTGAAAGAGAATTATTTACGTGAAGGCAGCAATTATTTGAGAGGTGGTTCATAATCTGGGCTGTTTGCCAGTGACAAGTCTAGGAACTTGAGCTTGAGGGGTGACCTCGAACTCGGGATTGAAGCGATTTCACGGCCTTGATAATGAATGGGGATAATCGCTCCGATGTTGGTGACGCAACTCATCCGAGAAGAAAGATTGATCGGAATGTGCCACCAGCACCCCTTTTCATCAAGGCAGAAGGAGGACCAACCGTATTGGCAGTTCGACACGACCAACCAAGTCTGTTGGGCCGCCGCCGCGATTCTTCTCTCATTGTCTAGATGCGACCAACCATATGGCCTGCATGAGCTACTTGGCGCATCTAGGCATCAAGGGTAAAGTAAACGCCTTTACTTCTTGACCTGCTTGAACAAGGGAATAACCGAAGCAGGTTGATTGTTACAACAACAAACACGCAGGCACCCCTGTCTGCGTCCCCCATCAATCACGGTATCATATCTGCGATGTAGGTAGCTTAAACACTGTGACACTGCACAATAAAGACACCAATAAAGATGGGCTCCTGTCGCCACATTTCGCTCCTTAGTTGGCCAATATCCGGGCAGATGCATGTCCGGGGCGCTGCCGTGATTGAAAGCCAACATTTGTGCGACATGTTGGGGGGGCACAATCGGGTCACTGCCTTAGCTCGTATGACATGTGACTTTATTCTTCAGTTGACCACCCTTGGGTTCTGAGATACAAGACAATTGAGAAATGATGTGTAAATGAAGTGATGATCGAATTTGCGAGGTGTTTGTTGTTAATCACCCATCTTGTCAAATGATTCCCACACAGCACTGTTTAACTCGATCGTTTTATATTACTAGAGGATTGCCGCAGTACATATAAACGCTACCCTACTACTAAAATTCCGTACTATTTACCCTTAGCCCCTTTCCCCTTTTTCTTCTTTTTTACCCTCTCCCTTATTAAAAAATTATTATAATTATTATTTTAATAATAATAAAATAGTTCTATATTAAGGAGTATTAAAAATTAGCTAATTACTATATTTATTTATAATTAAAAAATATAATCTTAAAAATAATAATAAATACGAGCAAAAGAATTATATATTCGTTTTAATTATTTATATTAATTCAATAAATAATAATTTCTTAATAAAATAGCTACGCTAAAATAGGTTATAATAATAATATTTTATTAATATTAATAAATAAAAGCTTTTTATTTATTTAAATAGTATTTTAATATAAGATAATAATATTACTTAAAAAGGTTATAATTAAACTAAATAAAGCTAATAAGAATAATATTTAACTTACTATTTTTTATTTTATTTATAATAATAAATAATAATATTACGACTTAATATATATAACTAAGACTAGGGCCTGCCCCGTAGGCCTATAGCGGCTACGATATATTATATATATATAAGGACGCTAATATAGGAGTTACTTATTAAAATGAAAGAACTATAAATAAGTTATATAATAATAAAAAGGACCAATAAATAATAAGTAGTTTATAAATAAGACTAATAAAATAAAAAGTTTTACCCCTATAAAACTAATATCGTAATAACGGTCCTAATTATAAAAGAACTATTTAAATAATATATAGGACTTATATATAAAATAAGCTCGAGCTAGGTTTAAAAATAAACTTTTATAACTTCTTTAATAATTAACTTAGTATTAAATCTTATAATTACTTTTATATTTTTATTAAGAACTTTTTAATAAAATTATAATTAATTATTAAAAACTTACTTTACGATTTATAAATATAACTTTAAAAAGCTATTTATAACTATAATACTATTATTAGCTTTATAACCTTAACTTTTATTAATATACCTTATTATAACTAATTAGCTATAATATTTTAATTACTCTTATTTAATAAGTTAACCTTATAAAGCTTATTAATAGTAAAGAATAATAATATTTTTAATAATACTCACTTATTTCCTCTTTTTAAAAAAGAAAAGCCTAAGAACTTAGCTAATAAACTAGCTATTACTAATAATAATATACTTAACGTTTTTATAACTTTAATAGGAATACCGTTTTTAATTAAAAACTATATTTAAATAAAACGCACTATTAAAAAAGTATTAAATATAATAAAAAGCTAGTTAAGCTCTTTAATAATAATACTATATACTTAACCTAGATCTAAAAAAAGTAATAAGAATATTATTATTATATAGAATATAATAAACGAAGTTATAATAATTTTAACTTTTAAGAAAAACAAATAACTTAAACTAGAGGTTAGAACCCTAAAGCTACTATTAGTATTATTAAAACTTTAATAAATAAAAGGAGAAGTTTAAACTTAACTCCTTTATTACTTTTAATAATATTAATAAACGCTTTAAAGGGTTCTTAATCTAAATAAAACTTACTAAACCTTTTATATTACGAACTTTTATAATAAAACCGAGCGAGTTATTTATATAATAACTTTTTTAAAAGACAGCTTTAAAATAATTTAAACCTTTTTAAAAAAGTTCTTTTATAATAATAGTTATTTTAAAATTATAAAAACGAGACTATTACGATTTTTATTAATATAATAAGATTTTAAAACGCTTCAAAATTACTTTTCTAAGACCTAAATAAGGTCTAATAAGTTAAAAAGACTTAAAGAATTTTAAATAAATTAAGTTTATTTTTATTATATAACCGAATTTAAAAGCTTTTAATAAAACTAAATACTATTAAATAAATACGAATCTCCAATTTTTATAAAAGATTAAAGGACGAAATTAAGGACGAGATATTTAAGCTCGACGCTCTAAAAATTCTTAACCTATATCGAACTCGCTATTAAACTTAATACTAAACTTTATAAGCGATATAAAAAAGAATTAATAATTATAAGCTAATATTAATAAATAATATTAATCCCAATTCTTAAAATAAAAGAAACCCTATGAAACTATTATTAATAATAAAAATTAATATTTTATGGATAATATAATAAACTTATAAACCTTAGTATTACGAACTAAGGATTATTTAAAAAGACTTTAAATATTATAATTATAATAAACTAAGATATATAATATAAGATTATTAATAACCTAAACGAATCTAAAATAAGTCTAAGATTATTAATATAACTATTAGAGCTATATTAAAAATTAAAACCGAAAACCGATATAAATTACTATTATAAACCAGATACTTTAATAATAACTACCTTATTTATTAAAATGGTAAAAAATAAATAAGCTAATATCCTAAGGAATTAAAATAACTTATTATAATAAAAATTAGTACTAAAAGATTAATATTAAAACCTTAATTATAAACCGACGAATTCTTAATACTAAGGTTATTTATAAAATTAACGAATAGCTTAACGAAGCTATTATTAACGAATAAATCTTAATAGAACTATTATTATATATATTACTACCTATAATAAATAGAAAAATGGATTTTAAATAATAAAACTAAATTACTAAGTCCAATATTAAAAATCGAATAAAGATTTTATTTTAAAATAAGGTATTTAAAAATAGAACTTAGAATAGTTTATAAACTAAGAATCGCCTTATAATTCGGATAAACCTCGTAACGTTACCTAATAACGTACTTAAATAGAAGTTATTGGTAGGAATATACTTAATATAAATAATACTAACTCTAAAAAAGAAGCTAAAAAAAAGGAGCGACCTAAATAAAAAGATATTTACTTTTTAAAAAATAATTAATTTATCCTTCTTAACAGTACGAACGATTATAAAAAAAATAAAAAGATATTACTTATAGTTAATAACGACCCCCTATTAATACTTAGCTACTCTTATGTTACGGCCAGCTAGTCGTAGTGAGTATGTTAGCAGAAGTTGAGGCTGCGATAACTAAGTAAACAGTGTCGTAGTCGTGGATAGCTTCCCTGAAGCTATGTCTGTAAATCGTAAGGTGGGTAAGGCTTCGGTGATCAATCGTAGTCTTGTCAGAAGGGGTTCTCAGTGAAGATAGCTGAAAGCGATCGTAAGATCTGATACTAAGTTGATTGCTGAAGAAGCTATGGAAGTCTGTCCTTGTGCCCGGCTCAAGTCCACACTATATACAAGTCTCGTTCCTGAACATATTCTTTGTCCGTATGTTTACCCAACGGTTCCCGTGTTCTGAACATACGGGTTCCGTATCGTGAAAGGACGGACCCCGTATCTCGAACGTACGGAGTTCCTTATCTCTTATCGTCACGTGACTTGTCCCATAGTTCTTCCGTCCCGAGAGGAGTCGCCCTGAGTTCGTGTTCCCGCATATATGGTGTGGTAGCCGCCGTAGGTCCTGTGGGGCAGGCCCTGGCCTTGTCATGCGTGTTGGATGCGTGTTGGGTCGTAACATCAGCTCCTCCTCTCAAAGGTCTAGTCCTCTAGGCCTATAAGTAGGTCCCTTGTTCCCAGGTTGGGGAATCAAAGCTTGCCTTTCTAGCGCAATGTGCTGACACGATGTCAGGTCGTGTTGAAAAACGTTCTTTGAAAAACACTATCTCGAAACTTCGGTCGGCTTGTGACGACGTGTTTGATCGTTTTGGTTCTAGCGACGTTATGCCCTGCACTCGGTGTTTTCGCGCCAAACGTCCATGTCGGATGGCTGATGGCGCCAAAACGTGCCAAGGCTGCAAAACCTGAAGCGTTCTTGCGATGGTCTCGTGGCATCGAGTCGTTCGTGCTTCCGCCGTTGTTCCGGTTTCTTAGGCTGACTATTTCGTAGTGCAACGGCTGAGTGACCAGCGTCAAGAATGGGAAGAGAAGGAGGAGCAGGCTAGCGACGCCTTGCTCGATCTTCATGAAAAACTGGCTCGGATACAGTCAGAGGTTGCTGAGGCAGCGGGCCGTCTTGCTCGTATCCGGGCGATCCGAAAGAAAGTGAAGGAGAGGCATGTGGAAACTTTTGCTCGTGGTATGCAGGAGTTGGAAGAAGAGGATGGTGTTCTTCCTGCGCTGGATGCTCACGAGCGG